CTGACGTTTCGGAAGGGTCCCGACCTGAAACGTCAGCTTTCCTGCTCCTCTGATGCTGCCTGGCCTGCTGTGTTTCTCCAGCTCCACACCTTGTTATCTCAGACTCCAGCATCGGCAGTTCCTTCTGTCTCTCCTGTCATTTTGCTGTGTGTCTCAGGATGTGCAGATATCTCCTGTGTGTGCGTGGTACTTGTACTTCCTGGCAATAAAGGCTGAGTAGTATGGATATGCAACCAGTCTTCACCCAGTCTCCCCATCTGCTCCATCGGATAAGTTTGGGTCAAGCTTGGGTCAAGATGTCAACTTTGCCTCCTTGTTCAGACAAAGAGTAATCTTGAAAGGATGGTGACGTTTACATCCTGAAAACCTAAGATCAGAACAGGTCAAGTGATTTTTAGGCTTTTTTCACCTGTACCAGCTTTGTAATATATTTAAACAAACCATTTGTATCAGAGTCATACAGTCACACAGCATGGAAACAGACCCTTCGGTCCAACCAGTCCATGCCGACCATAATCCCAAACTAAACTGGTCCCACCTGCCTGCGCTTCGCCCATATCCCTCCAAACATTTCTTATTCATGTGCTTATCCAAAAGTCTCTTAAATGTTATAACTGTACCCGCATCCACCACTTCCTCTGGAAGTTCATGCTACACACGAACCACTCTCTGTGTGAAAATGTTGCCCCTCATGTCTTTTTTAAATCTTTCTCCTCTCACCTTCAAAATATGTCCCCACCCCACCGTCTTGAAATCTCCCACCCTGGGGAAAAGACACGAAAAGACACCTGCCATTCACATTAACTATACCCCTCAGGATTTCATAAGCCTCTACAAGGCCAAGAAAGAAATCCCAGTCTCAGAACAATCCAGAGGACTCTTAAACCAGCGAAACCAAGAGATCGATCATTCCCAACCTTCCTCCAGTTCCAGCACTCACACCCTCAGCTCGGAGTAAATAATTAGAAAGGTCAACTCCCCTGAGGTAGTCTCTCATCTATTCCACCTTGATATTTAGACCAGGAATTCATCAACATTTTCTAACCAAAACAGAAGTTGCTGGAAAAACTCAGCAGGTCTGGCAGCATCTGAGAAGAAAAAAAATCAGAGTTAACATTTCAGAACCAGTGACCCTTCCTCAGAACCAGAAGGATCACCAGACCCGAAACGTTAACTCTTATTTTTTTCCTTCACAGACGCTGCCAGACCTGCTGAGCTTTTCCAGAAATTTCTGTTCTTCTTCCTGACTTACAGCATTTGCAATTCCTTCGGTTAATAGTTTCTAATCGACTGGCTCAGGGATGTTAGGGCATACCTCTGGAGTAGGTGGGACTTGAATCCAGGGCTCCTGGCTCAGAGTTAGGAATCTTACCGCCACACCGCAAGACCAGCACTAGTGACATCTGTTACTGATTCTGTGTGGGAATACTTTTTGTTGATTTTGTTTTCATCTCTATGGTTCCCATCAAAAATGTTAATGGTCTTTACCAGGAGCTGACTGATTAGCATCTTGAAGATGGTTCTTGTAGTTGATTTTCCTCTTGGTCCGCAAGCTACAACCAATTCCCACTCCCCCACACCCCCCAACCCCCCCCACCCCCTCACCCAACCACCCCACACCCAACCACCCCCACATCTCATCAATCAATGAGAATTCCAAACAGAATAACAGACAGGATGCAGGCACCTGAAGTCAGAGATTTGATAAAACAGGAACTGAAGAGCAAACAGGGGGATAGATGGTGATGGAAGGTGCACCCTGTGTATTGGGTTAAGGCACGGTCAGTCACATCCGGTCAACTATTACAGGAATCCGCGTGCAATGGACTGATGAATGTTTTCCTCTTGATATCATTACACTGACTGTCAGTGCAGAGACTAAAGCTTCAATGCGGGTAATCGGAGCTTTCCCAAGATAATTAGGAAGGAATCATTTCACCTTCATTCAGCTTTCTATAACGTACATCCTCCTGCCCTCCTTCTTGTACCATCCAGTTGTTTTTTTTTAAATTAGAGTCATCATTCCATGTATTTAGAGCTGCTCTTTACAGGAGTCTCAAATCTCCTCTTTACTGGACTCATAGAGTCATAGAGATGTACAGAATGGAAACAGACCCTTTGGTCCAAGTCGTCCATGCCAATCCTATATTAATATAGCCCTATTTGCCAGCATTTGGCCCATATCCCTCTGAACCCTTTCTATTCATACACCCATCCAGATGCCTTTTAAGTATTGTCTGTACCAGCCTCCACCACTTCCTTTGGCAGTTCATTCCACACACGCACCACCCTCTGTGTGAAAAAGTTGCCCCTCAGGTCCCTTTTAAATCTTTCCCCTTTCACCTTAAACCTATGCCCTCTAGTTTTGGATTCCCCTACCCTGGGGAAAAGACCTTGCCTATTCACCCTATCCTTGCCCCTCATGATTTATAAACCTCTATAAGGTCACCCCCTCAGCCTCGGCGCTGCAGGGAAAATAGCCCCAGCCTATTCAGCCTCTCCCTGTAACACAAACCCTCCAACCCTGGCAACGTCCTTGTAAATCTTTTGTGTACCCTTTTAAGTTTAACAACGTCTTTCCTATAGCTACTTTGAACCCATGACCCCCTCAGTCTTCTTGTACTGTTTACCTTGAACCATCTGAAAGGATGGTTTGCTTTTGTGTTCTACCTAGAGTAGTGCGTTGGTTCCAACAACAACCTTAACTTATGTAGCACCTTTCATGCAGTCGAAATATTTTATTCCTACAATTAAGAAAATTCCAAGGGGAGGACCCTCATCTTTGTTTCCCTCAAAAAGTTAACGAGAGAGTGAGGAAAAAAGTGTTGGGTCAGATAACTGGTCAGAACACAAAAAACGTCAGAGACTGACTAAAATGTTAATAGGAACTAATAGAGTGTGAGGGGAAGCTAGAAATGTAACAACAAAGAGAAAGAGTTTCTATAGATACAGGAAGAGGAAGTAAAGCCAGTGTTGGTTTTTGTGGGTAAGAATGGGGAGTTGATAGTAGATAATAAAGAAATGGTGCATATAAAGAAGAAATATTTTGCTTCTGTCTTTACTACGGAGGATACATTTCAACTCCCCCTCCCATTCCTCAGACGACATGTCCATCCTAGGCCTCCTGCAATGCCACAACGATGCCACCCGAAGGTTGCAGGAACAGCACCTCATATTTCACTTGGGAACCCTGCAGCCCAATGGTATCAATGTGGACTTCACAAGCTTCAAAATCTCCCCTCCCGCTACCGCATCCCAAAACCAGCCCAGCTTGCCCCCGCCTCCCTAACCTCTCCTTCCTCCCACCTATCCCCTCCTCCCACCCCAAGCCCCATCTCCATCTCCGACCTACTATCCTCATCCCGCCCCCTTGGCCTGTCTGTCCTCCCTGGACTGACCTGTCCCCTTCCTAACTCCCCACCTACACTCACCTTTACTGGCTCCATCCCCGCCTCTTTGACCTGTCTGTCTCCTCTCCATCTATCTTCTCCTCTATCCATCTTCTATCCGCCTCCCCCTCTCTCCCTATTTATTTCAGAACCCCCTTCCCCTCCCCCATTTCTGAAGAAGGGTCGAGGCCCGAAACGTCAGCCTTCCTGCTCCTCTGATGCTGCTTGGCCTGCTGTGTTCATCCAGCTCTACACCTTGTTATGTAGGATACAAAAACATTTCAGTAATAGCTATAATTCAGGAGGTTGAAGGAAGCGAGGACCTCAATGAAATTATAATCACGAGGGAAGTAGTATTGAGCAACTTGATAGGGCTGTGGGGTGATAATTCTTCTGGGCCTGATGGACTTCATCCGAGGGTCTTATTAGAGGTGGCTAATGGGAGAGTAGGTGTGTTGGTCTTCATTTTCTAAAATGTGTTAGCTTTGCAAATGTTCCATTTGACTGGAAAGTAGCAAATAGAACCCCTGCATCCGAGAAGGGAGAGAGGAAGGAAACAGGAAGCTACAGGCCAGTAAACTTGACTTCTGTCATGGTGAATTTGTTGGAATCAAACATCAAGGAGCTCGTAGCTGGGAAATGGGAAAAAATGCTCAAGGTATTCCAGAAGAGTAAGCAGGCTTTTTGTGAAGGAGAAATCATGCTTAACCAATTTATTGAAATTCTTTGAAGGTGCAACATGTGCTGTGGGTAAGAGGAGGGGGGTGCTTGGTGTGGTGGGATTGGATTTCCAGAAGATATTTGCCAAGGCTCCACGTAAATTGTTATAGCACAAAGTAGGAGCTCACGTATTCAAATAAAATATGGTTAGAAGATTGGCTGGCTGGCAGAAAACAGAATATTCATAAATGGATCTTTTTCAAATTGGCAGGATATAACATGTAGGGTCTCAAAGAGGCCTGCGTTAGATCTTAACTTTTCACAATTCATGTCAATTACTGATGGGGGCAAGCACAGGCACATCGATCTAAACGAAAGATGGGTAGGAAAGTGCTTCTAGTGATGAGATAACAAGGATGCAGATCATTATAGAGAGGTTAAGTGACTGAGTGAAATTCAGTCAGATGGAAGTCAACATGGGAAAATTTGAAGTTACTCACTTGGTCAAGAAGAGTGAAAAAACACATTATCGGTTAAACAGTGAACGACTGCAGAATTTGAAGAGACAAAGGGATCTAAATAATCCAGTGCATGTGGATCATGGAACACTATCCTTATATAGAGAGAAAATGAATATAGAAATTTTATCTTTAAAACCAAAAGAACTACGGATACTGTAAATCAGGAACAAAAACAAAGTTGCTGGAAAAGCTCAGCAGGCCTGGCAGCATCTGTGAAGGAAAAAATAGAGTTAACGTTTCGGGTCTGGTGACCCTTCCTCAGTATAGGAATAAAGATGGTATGTTTCAGTTATACAGGACATTACTGACACCATATCTCAAAAACAATGTGCAATTTTAGTCTCCTTATTTAAGGAAGGATATAAATACATTCGAAGTGATTTAGAGGAGATTTTCTAGATTGATATTTAGAATGGGAGGGTGATCTTATGAGGAAAGATTGGATATGCTGGGCTTGTTTTCAGTAGAGTTCAGAGAGCGAAGGGTACTTTGACTGAAGTTTATAATGTCTTGAATGGTCTTGATAAGATGAGCATGGGAGGAATGTTTACTGTTGTGGGTGGCCTTGTATTGGAACTGAAAGGTGTGAGAGATGAATATTGCCTCAGTACCATGTCCTCAACATAAATATGAGGTAGTCACTAATAACTTCAGTAAGAAATAAGATGGGTAGCATGGGCTCAGCTGTTAGCCCTGATCCCTCATAACAATAAGGATCTGCATTTGATGCCATCCTCGGGTGATTGCCTGTGTGGAGTTTGCACATTTTCCTGCGTCTCCAGGTGCTCCGGTTTCCTCCCACAGTCTAAAGATGTGAGGGTTAGGTAGATTGGCCATGGGGAATATGGGGACATAGGGATAGGGTCGGTGTGAACTTGACAGGCTGAATGGCCTGCTTCCACACTGTAGAGATTGCTATGAAGCCAAGAGAGACTGGAAGAACGATGAAAATATGAAACTCATTCACATGCTATAGTCAAGCTGAATAGTACAGTGTATTTAAAGGAAAGCTAGATAAATGTATGAAGGGAAGGTGAGTTATAGAGATCCTTCGGCCCATTGTGTTCTCGCTGGTCATCAAACATCAAGTTACTCTAATCCCATTTCTCAGCACTTGGCCTGTATCCTTGTGTGCTACAATTTTCAAATGTTCATCTAAATATTTCATAGATGTTCTCACCTCTACCAACTCTTGCAGGCAGTGAGCTCCAGATATCCACCACCTTCCTCATGTCCCCTTGAAACATTGCTTCTTACTTTGTTATTGATCCCTCTACTAAAGGGAAAAATTTTAACCTAACTTCTCTATCTGTGCTCCTCAGAACTTTATGCACCTCAATCAGGTCCCTCCCCCATCCGCCCCTGCTCTGAGGAAAGCAGCCCCAAGCCTATCTAGTCTCTCTTCACAGGTGCGTCACTCCAGCCTCAGCAACATCCTTTTGTGAATCTCCTCTGCACCCTCGCTAGTGCAATCGCATCCTTCCTACAGAGTAGTGACCAGAAATGCACACAGTACTCCAGCTGTGGTCTACCTAACGTCATATACAGCTCTGTCATATTCAGAATATAATGTAACATCATAAATGGAAGGTCGCTCAGATAGAGTGAAGTGAAGGAGGATTGGCTGGAGCTTTGTATGGAACATAGCATCCAGCATGGACCAGTTGGGCTGAATGGTCACACACTGTACAGTCAATTTGATATAATAGAGACATAGAGGTCTACAGCAGAGAAAAGGGCTGTTCAGCCCATCAAGTCTACGCTAGTCAAAAGCAAACATTCTAATGCCATTGTTCCAGCACTCGGCCAAAAGCCTGTCATCGCAAACTGGCACAGTTTGAGAATAAGAGAAAACGCTAATAGCATTCACTTGTTTTTCCAGGTACTCAACCTCTTCCTTGCTTTGCTCCTGAGCTCCTTCAGCGCAGACAACCTCAGCTCTCCAGATGAGGACGGCGAGATGAACAATCTCCAGATCGCCTTCGCCCGCATCCATCGCGGCATCAGATTCATAAAGAAGGTCAGCGTGGAATCCTTCCAGAGCATCTGCAAGAGGGCTGACCCCTCCATGGAAGAGAAAGCCATGGTGGAGCTCCCAACTTACGTCTTCAATCACACCGGCACTGAGAAAGGGAAAGAGCTGGAGTACAAGGACGGGAATGGGACAGCCAGCGGTATTGGGAATAATGGCATGGCAGTAGGCAGGATGAACGAATCCATGGCCAATGATTCCAAAATGACCGAGGGCGTTCCCATAGCAGTAATTGAGCCGGAGTTAGAGTTCGTTGAAGAGGAGGAGCAAAGCACCTTCACAGAAGTGGCAGTCAACGAAGAGGTAAGAAAATGAGCCTTTCTTCAGTGGGACTGTTTGATTTCTTCAATTGGGAGAAATACAGGTGACTTTGGGTTCTGGGTTTCTGAGGCTCATCTCTTCGCCTCATGTCCATCTCTGTTGAAGATTAATTAGCAGAGGTTAATTCATTTTGACTCTTCATCAGCTCTTCCCATCTTGTGATGGGACCACAAAGATGGTAGAAATAAACCCTGGCTTTTATTGGCCAGCAATTTCTATTCCCCTGTGTTTTCTCATTGCATTTGGAATTGCGAGGGTCGGACTAATAATCTAGAATATTGAAATTCATGCAGGTTGAAAGGTTTTAAAAACTATTCACTCATGGGATGAGAGGGTCACTGGCCAGGCCAGTGTTTATTGCCCATCGCTAATTGCCCAAAGGGCATTTAAGAGTCAACCAGATTGCTGTGAGTCTAGAGTCACATGTAGGCTAGACCAGGTAAGGATGGCAGTTTCCTTCCCTAAAGGACAGCAGATGTTTTTTTTTTAATCCTAACTGACAGTTACTACTTGGCTAGGTTTTAATTATAAACTTTAATTCAACTTGCACCATGTGCTGTGGTGGGATTTGAACTTATGTCTCTAGAACATTAGCTTGAAGCTAGGAGTGACATTTCCATGGATTTTTAAAGGGAATTGGATAAGTGCCTGAAGAGAAAAGGGCTGCAGGAACATAGCGAGGAAGTGTGACCAGCTGAGTAGCTGTTGTAGAAGGCTGGCACAAATGTGATGGATCAAATGGCCTCCTTCTCTGCTGAAGCCATTCTATGATGAACTGCTTGTGGCTCCATTATTGAAGTAGGCTTATGTTGGAGCTCTGTCCGCTTTTCTTGTAGAGTAGGCTGGGTGGCCTGACGTATTCATCCCTCCTTCCTCCATCCCTTCTATTCCATTTATCCGATGGTCACACAGCTGGCCTGAGCAGCTGGGGGTCAGGAGCTGAAACCCCCAGTCGGCCGATCATTCTGAAACTCCAGTAAGTTGACCTGAAACTGACAGGCAGCTGGGGAGCAATGAGTTGGGAGGCGCTGCCAGTGTACAGATGGTAGGCACTCACCGTCAGGCAAATATTTACACACCTCCCAGCTGTGCTGAGGTCAGCAGATGTGTGCTGACAGTCAAAGCGCCACAATAGCAGAGACGCTATACACGGCTGTGATACAGCCTTATATACTGCCTTAGGTCAAACACTCAAATATTTGTGTGAGTGGATATTAATTTTCAAAGGGAAATTATTGTCAATTGACAGACTATTGGAAGGGTAATTGAATTTGTTAGTAATTAGAAGCACCCGCATGGTTATAACTGAGCTATTCATCATATCTCTTGCTACCAGCTGATTATATCTTAGTTTGAATGCAAAGTCTGGTGAGTCAGGGACTCCCTCCCTGTGTGTAGGTAAGGGTTTGGCTCAATTCCATGAAATTAGCTCTCTTTCAGACAGTTGGGCACGACTCCAAAGCAAGTGTGGACAAGCGAGGGGGCAGGTCTATGGCAGTCTGAATGGAAAGTGAATTCAGCCTATTGGAGTCTTCGGAATGACACCCTAACCGTCAAGCCAGCAGAGCTGTTTCCCTGTATTCACCCAATTATCACGGAAGGTCTCCTGCCCAAACTCCTGTCAGAGCCTGATCTCAGCTGAGGTTTTGCTGCAACTCATGGTTAATCATTAATGGAATCAAAGGTTATGGGGAAAAGGCTAGCAAGTGGAGTTGAGGATTTTCGGATCAGACATGATCTCATGGAATGGCAGAGTGGAACCAGAGGCTGTATGGCCTACTTCTACTCTTAAATCTTCAATTCTTAATATTGAGTCCACATCTATTAGTCATAGAGCCATACAAAGAACATAGAACATAGAACATTACAGCGCAGTACAGGCCCTTCGGCC